AGATGACAATATCCTTTCTCCAATACCACCTTCCACTTGATAATGCGATCTATATAGATGGCTCGCCAGTGCAATCAGTATCCTCCTTTAAACTGCTCGGTGTGCTACTGAGAGAGGATCTATCTTGGTGTGATCATGTCGACTATGTGATTAAAAAAGCAAATTCTAGACTCTATGCATTGCGGAAATTAAAAAAGGCTGGGTTAAGCGATAAAGACCTTGTCACTATATATTCCTCCTTCATTCGGTCCCGAATTGAGTACGCTTCACCTGCGTGGTCAACGCTGACCCAAGGCCAGTCTGACCTTATCGAATCGATACAGAGAAGAGCATTACGTATCTTGCTTCCCGAAATGTCGTATCAAGACGCATTGAATTATACTGGTCTAAAAAAGTTAAGTACGCGTAGACATAATTCCTGTGAACAATTTATTCGGAAATTGAAGCTTGACAATGGTCCTATAAATCCTCTTAAGGATGTTGTTGCAACTCGTATACATCCAAATACTCATAATTATAATCTTAGGTCTGAATCAAGCTGGTCACTCCAAACGAACACAGAACGGTTTCAAAATTTTATAACTGTCAAATATAATTATTAATGTATTATCGATTTAGTAGTACTCGTGTATATTAATTCAGGGACCCAATTATAATTTGTGGACAGATTTAAACTGACTATTCAGAACGAACATTGAACGGTTTGAACTCAATTTTATCTGTAAATTTAATTTTTAATGTATTTACTTATAATCATGTAATTCAGTAGAGACTGCAATGTGATTAATTAAACAGATTATTATTATTATATTATTTTGCATAAAAATATATTATTTATTGAGTTGAATAGCATAAAAATTTCGCCCATATGAATGAAATGAAAAACACAAAGCAAGTACGGTATGAAATTTTAATACTGAAATGTTTATAACACTTACCCAAGATAAACAAGACAACGATTAAATTTTATATTGAAAACATCTGGTTCGTCTTCGACAAAACTCGTGTTTATCAGTTTATGCATGCCTATCGCACTTTGTTTTACGATTGACAGCCACTAATTCATGAAACTGCAGGCTTGTTTCCAGTTAAATAGCGAAATACATCGCAAAAAAAATATTGTAAAATAGCAAAATACATCTTTGCAAAATGAAAAACAATTTTTTTAGTGCGAGCTATTATTACACGTGCATGCGCAATAACGTCGAAGACCGTCCATCACATAATGGAGGACAAATTGCACTTCGCTATGTTTTCAACTGAACACCGGGTGTAAATAGCCGGGCGGAATTAGTATCCTCGAACGGCGCTCCGCGCCGCCGGCTCGGGGATTACAGTGCGTTTATGTGAATAAACGGGCTGACCCGCTTCCAGAGATCGCGCATGAGAAAGGCGAGATCTCGCTTACCGGGATGAAAATTTCTCCATATAAATACTCATATGAAGAATGGACTGGCTTGCTTACCGGGCTAGCTAGCTTAGCGAGATCTCACAGTGTAATTCATTTTATAGTAAAAAGTATCGTGCGTTTATATGAACAAACAGGCCAACCCACTTGCCGGGATGAAAGTTCAATGATGCCGCTGCAAGCTATTTTTAACAACTGTCAAAACAACAAAATTGTCCCGCCAAGCGGGATGAAATTTTCTCATAGTATAAACAGAAGAGAAATTCATCCCGCTTACCGGGCTGTCTTGCTAAGCGGCCTAGCCCGGCTTCCATATAAACAGAATAAAGATCAGTAACAAAAGGGACGCTCAGCGGTGCAATGTGTCCTCGTTTTTGTATGCAAAATTATGCAGTTTACTGGCCAAAAGGCGGAGCAGCCAGCCAGAACAGCGTGTTTATTGGCCGAAAATGTTATTGACTGGCTAGGAAAATGGCGGCCAAAATGCGTAATGCGACATGCGCGAGGCGTCTCTATTCAATCCTTACTCCATGATATAAACAGCCCCTTAGCTAATACTCAAAAATAAGTTGGGGAAAAGCAGAAAAGAACGACGAAAATGATTCCTTATGTTATGTTATGAAATATATTAGTGAGACAAATGAACGAATATATCGAAATCGGCTGCGAAATGAGACGAACCTTTTGTTGAGAATTTCAAATTATAAACATTAATGTGTAAAAGATGACAGGACGAATTAGTACAAAGTTAAACAATTAATTTTAGAACTACGTAAAACAACCTTATTAAAACTAAACTTATATCACACTTGCGTCGGTTTTCTTTGTTCTTCCGAGGTTTATAACTAGCTTATAAACCTTGAATAAATGATTAGATTAAACTTGTAGACAAAACGCGAGAATTTTTCATTAAAAATTTTTGAAAATGACAAAATATGTTGGAAAACCTCCGCAAGTGTGATATAAGTTAGTTATAAACCTCGAAAGTCGGTTTATAACTGATATATTGCCCCTCGGACGCTACGCGTTCTCGGGTCAATATATCAGTTATAAACCTCCTACTCAGTTTATAACTCTTACATAAAAAAAAAGAACTAGAAAAATGTCAAATATGTTGAAATATATTGGTTATTGCACTTCCTTCGTTTTATTTGAACATAAATTAAATGTTGATGGTGGTTTAGGATAACGAAGGCAGAAACATACGATTATTGAGACCAAACCGGGAACGTTGCGAAAAATGCAACTTTGGTCCTCCGGCATGAATCGAACCTATAGGTACGCCTCTGCGTTTGTGGAGCAGTGCTCTCACCACTAAGCTACGGAGAACGATGCTTTTGGGAGAAGGCGTAAATTCACGTATGCTGTAATGTTCGGGTATTGCGCGTTTTTGGGGGGTATCACTAATGGATCGTATGCTTCGGCCTTCGTTCACCTTAACCACGATCAACATTTAATGTTGAAATATAGTTCATATGGCATAACATTCCCACCTTTCTCCGATTCAACCGTCCTTGGCTGAAAAAGAGATGACAGAAAGAATAAAGAGCGTGTACATACTAGACACATGTGGATATATAAGTATAGGTTAAATACCGAGAATGCGGGATATATGTCAGTTATTGAGCTGAGGTGCCGTAGACTCCGAGGGCGAATAACTGACTTATATTCCAAGTTCGAGGTATATAACCTACGTATATAATTTTTGAGGCGGTTTTCCAACAAGGTTTTATCGACTTTGAAGGCTTTCAGTCGAGATTTCTCCACAAGTTTCATCAAATTATTTATTCAATGTAAATAACCTAGTTATATCCCGCGGTATATCAACGAAAACAGACTCAGAATTATATAATAGACGTTTAATTTTACACAACACAGCATTATTATAGCTATCACGTCGTTTGAGCCTACAACGAAAAACTGGGCTAGCATAATGCTCCCAGGGGCTCAACAAAACACATTACGTTTACTAATATTGGCTCAATTGATTTATATTATATAACGAGAATTAACGGTGAAAACAATGAACATTTAGGTGAACACAGAGGCTACAAAAAGCTTATTTCCCTAAACTATGGTATGTGCCAAGTAAATTTGTTGCAAAATATCGGAAAATTTAGTTTAAAAAGAGAACAGAATAAAAATTGTCAAAATTTCATTGTACCCAACAAAAAGTATATATGAAGCCAATTTGACATCCATAGCTTTTAGGTAAAGTCAATTATATACGATAAACACAAAGGTGGATATAGGTTATGTAATTATGAAGAGTTAAAAAGTGTTACATTACAGTTTTGCATCATTACCACCAAATGATGTTTCGTGTTCGTCCAAGGCTTTGTTAGTGTAGGATTCAGCATCGCCTTTCTCTAAGTCGTATTTGACCCCTCTTTCATACCCTCCTCTGATCTTCCATACGTACATGTGTACACAAGGAACGAAGTAGATGATTTTTAGAAACAGAGTCAACCAAGGCAAGATCAGGCTCATAAAGCTATTCCTGAGGAGAAGGTCACGCTGGATCATCCATCGAGCTACTCCGTGGACCATGCAATGCCCCACTGTCAGCAAGAAGCAGACAAAGCCAAACTGAGATTGGATGAAGCGCCATTCCCGCCAGTTCATTAGGGCCCCAATAGCAGGGACGGAGGTGAGACCAATGATCCCCATTGAACAGAGAGCAATCAGCCCAGTGGCAATACACCCTTCACCGTGCAGGTTCATCTTGGTATCGACTGGAATCTTGGTGTCTTCTGTGCCGTTGACTTCAACAATGACGTATTGTTGTTTGAAGAGATAATCGAAGTAAGATCCATTCATGCAGCTCATTACCGTAATCATGTGCATGAAGCCAAACAACAAAGAGTATATTCCCAGTTGTTTGCGACCTTGTAGCCAGCTATCTAACCATGGCTGGAAACGTGTGTGTTTGGAGCCATAGTAGATTTGAGCAAAGGCTGCCAGCACTCCTGGTAGGTAACAGAATGCCAGGAGGTTGACACTCACCGCCCCAGTTGCCTTGTACAGCACGTAGGTTGGTATCTGACTGATATCGTACCTATCTACCGCGATGTACATGACAACAAACAGATAGAGGAGCTCCATCAGAAACAAGCCAATCGTGAATGAAGTAGGCCAGCCCCAACCTCGAAACAGATACAGAGGTTCAGACTCCAGATCTCTAGCCATATGAAGCCTGCCCGCATTGTGCACAGCGAATCCAATATCTCTGGACATTTGAGCAACAGCTTCCAAGGCAGACAAGTCATCGCTTGCTACGTAAACCTGGCGATGTTCGTTGGAAGTGTCATCTCCCATTGAGTATGCAGATACGGTGTTGAAGCATTTGATGACAATTGATTTGGGAAGCAAGTCAGCAAGTTTTTCTGCATTGGACTTTTCTTTGGATCTCTTGGATGGATTGCTGACATCGACCAGGAATTTGCCTTGTAAAAAATCTTCATGGATTTTGAGGGAGTCTGCGTACTTATAAGGAATAGCGACAATTACCATGTTTGAAGCGATGATACAGTCTCGTACAGATACGAGATGTGCATCTTTAAGTATTTCGTCACGCTTCTGGAGGTTTCGGTTGAGTGGACTGCGGCTTCCAATAGTAACCTTGTAACCATTCTGGATGAGTCGTTTGGCGAGTGCGCATCCAAAATCTCCAGTCCCTATGATGGATATTGCTCGCTTAGTGTCCATCGCCAATCTACAACCAAAATACACAAAAATATACAAATATTGATAATTAATATACAGTATATCCAAAAAAATGGCACTCTGAGAAGAATCATCTTGTATTGTAATTATTTAAGTTAATGCAAAATTGTAAAAACATGACACATTTCGTGTTTATGACTAAGCTGTCGTGTAGCTTCAAACCGTATAGTCTGCCACGCAATTCCGAAATATTGCATTTTGATTTCCACATCCATTTTGCTCAATTTCCCAAGTTTGATCAAAATGGCCACTCAAACGCTCAACTTGGCTACCTTGGACTTTTTGTCTGCCGGTACTTCAAAACCAAAAAAATGCGTTGCTGAGCTGCAGTGAACCCCGAAATATCGAGTATTCGACACAAAATGTTTGCCATTAAAATACGCTAGTTGGGATTTTGCTATTCTCACATGCTTACTCCAAATGTAAATGATTCCGTTGTGTGTAACCGACAGCTGTAACCAATGATAGATAATAACCTATAGGTACGTTATTTGTGTCAAATATATTTTTTGGCTTTGTCTTGTCAACAACGGTAATATTGTTAGTTTTGTAAGAGTGACATTTTTTGGGACAACCTGTACAAATATTAATACTTAATAATTCTCTATACACATTGTCTCTTTAGACATTTGCTACGGACAATTGTCAAACGCAATGCCATTACCAACTAAGAGAGCGCGATAGAGGCGCTTTAAGAGAAACATTGTCGTAAAAGACGAGAACCAGGTTTGACCAACTTGCGTACAGAAAATTATCCAGCAAGCATGCGCTCTTGTATGGTTTATAAAGTTGGCGAAGTTATAAGGGGGTCCATTATAGTTTGGCGGTTGTAAAGTTCTTATTTATGTTATATTAATCCATTTCTCTGTGTATATCTATATATCTATATGTTCGTGTCCCATCGCACGTAAGCAACAACGTTCTTCCTAATTTCCATCTCCCGCGTAAGGAGGTCTCGTGGTAGGAGATCAACGTGCAACAGCGGTTAGGCGGTTTTGGCGATTTTGAGACGGCGGTTTTCGGATATATCCTACTCAATTTTCGTGGCGATTTACGCGGTGAAAAAATAATCACTAGGTAATGGAAAATCGTTGAGCAATGACCACATTAGATAACTCATAAGCTCCTTTCGAAGATTGACTGTCAGTTCACAAAAATAAAATCTAATAAAGCATAGTAAATTTGGTCATTGACATTGAGTGAGGCTATAAAAAAATGGTCCATGGCCAAACTTGGGAAGTACGCGGAACTGGAGTTCGTAAATTACAGATCAGTTCTTACGCAAAATACAAAATGACTTACTATGGATGCAGTGTTGAAAATGTCAATTTATTATCGTTATTATTTCAAATTTTCAATAATCTTGGGTCTGCATAAAGTGCAAGCCATGCGAGGCACACAAACTTACGAATCACACATCAATACAGCAGCGAGCCATGCATATTTCGCAGAACCCTTTCTATTAATTGAAATATATTTGTATACCAGTATGTTATATTGTATATATATAATTTTAAAGCTTATATGCTCAAAACAATGTTTTTCAGTTGTTTAATTTATATGGTACGGAATAAATGCTGAAGATAGCCATATCTTCACATAATGCAGTATCAAAATCGACAATGCTTGGTCTTATTAAACATTTTTATGAATACGGAAAGCACACTGCAACTACTAAATTCAACCAAATTGAATTAAGTTTAGCTTTATAGCTTTATTTAATGTAGACTGCATGTTCTCACGGAGAGGCTATAAAAAACATTTTTATGTCCGGAAAAAAATTTTGCGATCTCCCCGCTCGCCAACAATTTGGCGGAAAAATATTAATTAGCAACGGAAATGTTGTCGGCAAATCTGATACTACCCCCCTCCCCCCTTTCAAACTCTTCGCTGCTGCCCTGTATACAGTGGTTCATTGACATTGTAACTAAAGTATATACCGGACGAAACTTAAACTGGATTCAATTTATTTATACTAGAGGATACTATAGTTTGTTTAGTTTAGATCTTGTATTTTTCCTTACTCCTTAACATTGTTATTCTTGCAAAATATACTTAGTTCTTCGTTGTCAACATTCGCCATATCATTTTGTTTTGGAATTCCGTCTGCACAATTAGCCAGTGATCAACCTGTTTTTTGTCGAGATCCAGTGTAAGAAGACACTAAACTAGATTACTTCATTTAATATATAGTGAGTGTATAAGTTTCAATTTCGCCGCGAAAGGCTTGTATGATTGCATGCCGAAAATATATTTGTTTGGTATTTGTGGAAACATCACGTTTATTTTGTATTACTAGATTTCGATATTTACAAAGCTGCATGGATCTTTCTCAATGTATCAAATTATTATATCACCAACGCGGACTTGGGTCGAATGCTTCGCAGAGGCGTAGCCAGGATTTTTGGTCAAGGGGGGGGGGCAGCAAAAACCCAGGTGGGGCCAGCCGCCTGTGACTCAAGACCATTCAAGACGCAAAGTTCTCGCAAGGTATTCTGTACAGTGCTGGGTAAAATTAATTGTCGACACATGTGATTTTTCAGCGAGCTCGCGATAAAAATTCAGTGGTAAAAAACCAAATTGGTTTAAACTTCATCTAACCCTCATTTAATACATATTAAATTAATTAGGGTTAGAAAAGGTACTATGTGTTTCAAGCTGTCTGCCGCAAATAAGCGAACAAGATTTTAGGTTTCACACTGATGCGCAGCAAAGACATATTCTACAGAATTTTTGCATTATTGACAACATGAAGCTATATAATCAAGGATTCCTTTTCTTATACAATACGTTTTATCAGGGAGGATCCAAAATTTTGTCAGGGGGGCGCATGATCAAGGATCTTATTGTGCTTTATGACAATGTTATCGAGATAACGAAATATCTTTGAAAAGCGCAATACATTAATTATTGGAAAAAACACACAAAATGCTTGAAAATGTGACTATCTTTCTATCTCCAAATTACGGCGAATAAATTTTTTCCAAACTCTTTAGATCTTTATCTAGCTTTGGCGTAATTGCCTCAATGTAATTGCCTCAATGTTGGCGTAATTGCCTCTATATAAAGTTTTGTCTGCTGTGATATTTGCCCATAGCCATGACCGTGAACTAACAGGCGAGTTTACTACAATTCATGGCAACGGAATTTAAGTCCGCATTTTAGGCTGAAGGAATATGTAAAATTGTAAAATAAGTTCACTCGACAACTTTTCTAGCTTATCTTTTTTCGTTCTCGAGATATGCAAATTAAATAAATCTATGGTATTATAGAAGGAAGTAACTAATATTAGTTCTAAAGGTAGTATAGTCTCGTCAAACGTTAAAATTGACAAAATATTTCAAACCATACACAGCTAATTCAAAAAAAGGTTTTCCTTTGAAAGACCTTAAACTCAAAACCTTAAACCTTAAAACTCTTTCTCGACAGGCCGGTTTCGTATTACATTTCCATTCAATTTTTCTAATATAAATATCTCTGTGAGTATTTACCCCCCTTTTAAATATATCCCACCATTGAAATCCTCAGAATATAACCTTTCGAACGGCGGGGGGTCAAGTGCCGTCAAAACATTACACAAACCGAAACAATCATATATTTATACTCACCGCTTCGCCAAACATTCAAACGAGAAAAAGAGAATAAGTTGAACATATTCTAAAATTTGGCGTCATTTTCTGAAAGGATATATGTGTAAAATACTCTTTGTATTCAAGCGCTTTCGTGTAGAAAGTTTCGTATGAATACGGTGAGTAGAAATATTTATTTTGAATTTTTCAAGGTATCGGGTTTTACTCGCACGCGCGTGTATTGCGTAATACTTGGCCAATAAGGAGCTCTTTTTATCCGGGATGACGTCAAACTTCCGCGTATAGGTACACTTTGACCTGTAGAATCCATTTCTGGCATTTCCAGAGTCACGCGATACAAACTTTGCATTGTTTTGACGGTTTTTAATCGTATTTCCGTTTTGGGATTAACGCAAATTCGAAGCAGAAATGGAAAATTCTGGAACAAAAGTCACATTTTAAAGATAGAAGCTTGAAAATAACACTCTATACGTGTTATTTTTAACTGCTTCATTCATCAAGAATACCAGAATGAGCATACGTCTCAAGGGGCCGAAGTTATGTTCGGCGAAATGTATGTCTATGTTTATAATTTGTTAGTAATATTGCGTAATTTGATCATATACAAGTCCGCTTGACTTTCAAAGCTCATAAATCGCTACAATGTAGCCAGTGACTAAAACTATCGTTATACATTAGTATATATTTTTATACTGAATCGAATGGTGGTATTTTCATCTACATAGCATGTACTGAACCGAAGATATAAACGAAACATCCGTAGAACGTAAATATTTAATTCTACTTCTTATTGTTATGTAATTGGGCGAAAAAAATTTTAAAAAAAAAAAGAACGTGCACGTTCTACGCGTAATGGACCCTGCTGAGAAAGAGGTTAAAGTCTAAGCGTGCAAAGCATAACGGGAACAGCTATGCTTAATCAGTTTGGAAAGCAGTATATGGGGCCCGTTTCTCGGAGACATGGTAAATATCTCCTTATAGGAGAACAATTCATTCACAAATAGCTTCAATAATATTCAACCACTAAGCTTGAAACTTGTGCTCCCATTAAGCTTTGCGCGCTTAGAGTTCAAGGTTTAAGGTTTAGAGTTTAATTAAGGTTTTCAAAGGACAGCCTTTTTCGAATTGGCTGCCGATATTGTTGAATCTTTTCACCTACATTATGCAGAAAGTTATGCAGCAAGCATGAGCTCTTGGTTTATATAGTTGGTTTAGTTAAAGTTTCCTCCTGTAGCTGGTAACACACTCGACCAAGAGAAGGAAGAGTTTAGAACTGACAATATACCGGATAAAGTTTCCTATAGCTTCTGTACTTACGTTGTAAAAGGCTCAAGTATTTTTTATAATAAACGGCTAAAGTATTTTGTTTTTAATTTTTTTTGTTCAGAGAAAGGGCGGCAAAACCTTTCAATTCCTTCAGACAGAATGTCTGTACTCCCCCTCAAGCTTGCAATAATGGTATATACTTATAGCTATAGCTACGTGCAGTATTGAAATTCTTCAGAGAGATATTGTGTTTTATTTGTGTTCGCAACTTGTGAGGCGCCCAACAAGATTCCAGAATATATATCATGAGGTTAAATGTTTCTCAACGAAAATGAGCCACCCGTTTGTCCTCCCGTCGACCGTTGCGAAGTTTCTGGCCGATCAACTTTTACTCTATAAAAAAAATGACGGTTTCGGTTTTCACGAAGAAATACGGGTGATTAACGGTGAAGGAGACAAAAATAGGACGGTTTGCGGAGCGATCAACCCCCTATAATATACCCCCTTACCAGAAAATTCATGCATGCAGAAACCCTCGCCTTACTGATAAAACATTATGTTTTCTGAATATGAAGAGTATAAGTAGTTGTCATGGTAACACGATATTTTTAAGAATAGTTTTAAAATTGAAAAATCCCCCCAAAATATCACTTTTAATAACAAAATTATCAATTTCCCAAACATATATATGCTAGTATGTTATTATACGTAATATAAGCTTCAATTTAATGTCAAATTCAACCACAAACGCTTCGCAAAACGTTTTAAAATCTTCTTAGCCTTAGGACTATTCGGCCTTTTATCGCATTATCGGTAAACATTGAGTTTGAAATAACCTGATTTCAAATTCTAGCATGAAAATAACTTTGGTTTCCTCTTTATTTCAACATTTTAATACACAACAGAAAGGGCAATTAATAAAACAACACTGAAATTATATGCTGTCTTTTTTTCACTTATATACGCAACGACGTGGCTGACGAGCGCAACGATAGTATATCAGTTCGATATTCGCAGTATCGCCCACCACTAGCTATCAGTTATAAATATATCAATTATAAAACAAACAATACATCAATATTTAAAACTAACTTACCTTCATTAACGTCGGCGGCTTTCCCCCAATCTTTTAGAAGTTTTTAGACGTTATGTGGCTCTTAGAAAGGTTTCGAAATTTACAAAATCTTGCAAAAATACAACTTGAAAGAAATGTTTGTTATTTCGCTGTGGTGAATGCAGTCGTTATAATGCAAATTTCAAATATGACCAATGCGTGTTCACGGTTCACGACAGTCCACTACATATTTTGAGATTAGTGAGGATGACCACCCATAAACGGTGAGCCATGCGCCAACGATATTTGATGAACTTTAGACTTCGCTAGTGCGTTCCTTTCCACGGGTGTAAATAGCCGGACGGAATTAGTACCCTCGCACGGCGCTTGGCGCCGTCGGCTCGGGGATAAGGTTTCCTCCTGTATACTAAGTAAAGGTCTGTTTACACTAGCAATTTTCGCTGCGATTATGGCCAGTGTAAACATGCTGCAATGCCCTGCAATTTAACTGCAATTCCAGTGCAACTTCACTGCGAGAAAAGCTGCAAATATTTCGATCGTGCTCCAAATTTATCGCAATCACATTGAGATTTTTCAAAAGGATGTGAACAAAATACGACTGTGCTACCGCTCAACGGCAGGTTTCGGTACCTTCCATGAAGGGATTTATCAAAGTCAAGCAACAAAAATTACAAATATACTTAAAATGCTTTACTTTTACGCGGTTTAAAAAAAGCAAAATTCAGGTACACAGAGCTAGTGTATATAAAACTCGATCATTTGTGCTTAATAACATTCACACCACTAAATTCTAATAAAACGGTTTTAGACTTATTTTAAAGCCTGTTCATTTATCTTTCGAACAAAGGCTGATCCGTATCGTTTAGTGCAAGTGATAACTGCACATCAATTTTAGATGCCGCTTAATTAAGTATACAAATTTACTATGTTATTCCATAGTCGGTTGCAATCTTTGAATTTTCTTGTTCAAACTTTAATGTTCTTGTTGCCACATCAAAAAACTAGTAAAAACTCGTTAAAACATTTTAAAAGAGATTATGTTGTTTTATTTACTTCAAAATCCTAAATCGATTCCATGCAGAAATCATCAACACAATCTTATGGGTCTACGTCTGAACGAGCGCCACCGAATCGGGCGTAATGTAAACACAAATTAGCAAGTTGACGTCATGTTTAAAACACGCTTCAGCCGGGATTATAACGTAATTTAAAGTTACCAAGCGACTTTAAAATAGTGTATTGGAAGCCATAATTACTTGAGTTTACAAGCTATGGCCAAAATGCCTCAATTTTCTCGTTTTGTTGACAAAGTAAGCGATTTTCACGAAGTACTGATTTGTTTTGCGTCTCAAATGCATGCTTGATTCTCTAATCGCAATCACTTAAAATATGATTATTAGCGAATAAATGGATCAAATTTGAGAAGCTATACGCTTTAAAATTAATGTAAACACGAACGTTTTGCTCCTCGTTCAGAAATTTATATTTGAACCGACGACTCCGTTTTTTTTTATACATGCATCTGAATGGCTATAATATAAATGCAGTTGACTAACAATATTATGTGAATGAAGAAATTACCTTTTACCCTTAGTCCAATAACAACATAAAAACGAAGCAGAATACTTTCACCGCTTGACTGTTGTCTTTTCTTTTTTAATACGTTCCCTAGTTTCCTATAGCTCAGGTACTTACATAATAAAAGGCTTACGTATTTTGTTATAATAAAAGGTTTATAATAAGTATTTTTTTAATTTTCTTGTTCATGCAGAAAAAGTGCGGTAAAAAGTTTTAATTCCTACAGACGTCTGTGGTAATTGGGGCCCCATAGTTTTGTGGCTAACCGAGCTCAAACGCAATGCATTATGGTGCGTACGTACACGGAACTTTTACTACAGTGATTAAAATCCCATCGGCTTTTCGCCTGATCTAACTAGGGAGATGCAAAGAATCATGGGGCGAGCCTATAAAGCGCAATTGTTACAGTCGATTTCACATAACTTGTGCCAAAATATAAATATTCTTATAAAATATTATCTTAATTTTCAAATGTCAGTTTTATGTCACGGGACTATCTGACTTCATGCAGTAAAAGTTATCCACTTCATGATCAGCTTCGAAGGAAAACGTTTAGGTATCATCCAATAATTTGTTATTAGAATAATGACAAAAAGGTGATTATTGAATATTCTCCACGCTGATTGGTTGCCGTTGAGGTGATTATAACGCGATATAATCACCTAAGCGATTTTCGAAGTGGCGGCTGAAGCCGTTTTGTGAATTAAATGACGAAGAAATGTGTATTTTTTTTATTTTTTCTAAACAATCACATATCAAATTATACTAGAACAATTACCTCGCCTTTGGCGAATAATTGTTAAATAATTTCTTTCGAATAATTGTTAATAAAACGCAAAGAAGGGCTTGATTTCAAATGATATACATTTCGTCGAGACTGAATATAAATATCAGCTGACTTCTTTTATTTATTTGCGGCGGGCTTACAGTAAGACTGTAACTGTAATAAAATCTAAGATGTTGAAAAGTTACAATGTCACCAATATATCTAGACACAGTTATAGACAGTCTGAGCCAAATGCGTGAAATGAGCCGTTTTTGTGCAATACATCCTGCTAATCTGTTATAAGTTTTATCTCGCTTCTTTTATTGAAGATCTGAACTGCACTTTGCAGATTATAAGTATAATGTAGTTCAGTAATCTTTATACTTGTTATATTAAGTAATACTATTAATATTATATGTACAATTTACGGAGTTCTTAGTCCCAAACTGTACTAGTATTATACTACATAATATTCACAGGACGAAAAGCGTGTCATTAATCAGCTTTAGCAAAGATACTAAAGATATTAAATATGTGTTTACACCTTTAATAAGCTGACTAAAGGTGGTTAAATAAAAAGTTACACTTAATCGCATTTACTCTGAATAAACCACCTCTTTTGGAAACTGATACACTTAATTGCATTTAGTGAGGATATTAAAGCGAGTTAAAACACATTAAACCGCACATACTTTAATTACCTTTAATGCGCAGTTTAAATGTCGACTAAAGGCAGAAATAACATTTAATCACGTTTAGTTTTATCTTAAATGAAGACAAAACTTGACACACGCTGTCGATAATTTAACAGAATTAGAGCTATGCTGAATATTACAGTATAAACATGAAATGTTATATTTATATCACCTGAATTTAGGCGCTTATATAGACAGCGCAATTCGCTTGGACAGTTGATTCTATTGACATATATAAATATACAAATATAATTTTATCGCCAAAGGCAAAATACCTAAAACAGAAGCTGAGTATATCATTTTTAGCTATCCAGCTTCAGATAGACAATTTCTTTATTTTGTATATGAACTACATACAATTTCTACATGTACTTACACACAGCTAGTCGTTCAACACAAGGATCTTTCGTATTTCCACTTTCTCCAATAAAATAATAGGTCA